ACATGTTTTTTTACAGATTTCACATTTCATGAGATTTACACACAAATGCCTTCATAAATTCTACAAATTATTATGTGTTGTAAAATAGAAAAAGAAAAAGAAAAACAATGTTCTGCATTGAAGACAAACCAAAACAATGCCACATTTCTGTTTGGATAAATCAAATATCAAATAGTTTTGTATCGTGCTGTGTCGTCTGTGAGAAAGCGTGGCCTTAAGGAAACTCTATGTTTGGATGAGGACGAGCGGGTTGTTCTTTATTTACGAGCATTTTTACGTTACGAAAAACCTCCGTGTCATCCTCATCCCCTTCAGCAGCAGCAGCAGCAGCAGCAGCAGTGTGGAGGACACTAGTCCCCATGTAGATCACACCACTAATCAAAGACTCATCTTTGATCATCTCCATTTCTTAAAAAAAGTCCTTTGAACATTTCCAGCCACTTGTGCTTTTATTTACGCTCCCTATTTAGTCGACCAAGGATTTGAAAATAATGAGCTCTGCACATCAGTGTGAACATATTATTTTCAACGGCTTAAATAAGGATCCGTAATTAAAGTTTTGAGCGGTTTCTCTGCCCAACTCATGTTCTTATCAACTGCTGTTGTTCTCAGCTCTGTTGTCGACGGAGGATTTTCCCCGTTCTCTCAGTGTTTCTTTTATTTTTCTCACAGAAATCCCACTGACCCATATAGTAGATCTCAGTTGTGAAGCCTGTAATATAGATTTCAAGAAGAAGAGAGGACACGGATTCTATTATTAGTCCCATTTGAGGTGCACAGCATCCTTCCTAGTGCTGCTGCTGCCGCTGCTGTTGTGTGTGTGTGTGTGTGTGTGTGTGCTGAATTCCCTGAGTGAAAACATTACCATCTCATTTGGGTGAGGGTGAGAATTACCTCATGCCAGTGAGCAGTTTCATCACAGCGCTGCCGAGGAGCTGAGCTGAACAGAGCTGTCGACTGTTTACACGAGCGGCGGCTGAAGGTAGTAGACACTTTTCCACTTTACATCTCAGCGACATCACACATGACAACCTGTGATGTCACCTCGCCGATGTTTCCCGTGAAAGGTCTCTCACACACAGCAACATCCCATTGATCCTCGGCACCACTTTGACAACGTCCTCGTGCCCTCTCACACCTACACACCTGAGTGGGCGCCGATTGATAATGTTAGCAGTTAGCGGCTAGCGCTGCGACAGGCTTGTCCTGTGCTGTGCTGTTGTCATCCTGCAGGGAGAGTCCTGTGGCAGGGTGTGAGAGGGACAGAGATCAGCGGCGTGGATTAATATGCACTGCTTATATTTTAGGGCTGATCAAACGACTGCAGCAGGTGATGGTCCATCCAAAAAAAACAAAAAAACAACCTCTCTGATTAAAACTCTGCTTTTAATTGGGGAGATGAAAGAAGCAATTAGCTGCAGTTAAGTTATTTTTTCCCCCAAGCGAGTTTGTCATCATTTATTAAAAAAGGAGGGAAATAAAAATGCATTTTAAACATTTTTCCCATTTTTTTTTTTTTGCAGAAGGCAAACTAGGTTATAACAAATTCTCTCAGTAATCACATAGGTACATCAGTAAGATCTGAGTGAATTCTTATGAAAACTGACATGAAATCTCAAAGTTTGGACCGTTGGGCTCTTTTTCTACAGATGAAAAAAGATAAATAAACTTTTATCAAACATCATCAGGATGTGGAACATCATCTCAACAGACTTTTAATGAATTTTCAGGGTCACTTCTAGCCTTTCTTTGTCACATATTTATATTTAAAGCTAAGTTTTTAAAGTTTTTTTTAACCTCACCATATCCAGTGTAACTTTTATTACCAATTACAAATTTTCCATTTATTAATTCATGTAGTTTTGACCCAAGCAACGACAGGTGGAAGTAGGCAGCTGTATGTATATTCATAAATATATTTAGATTCTTAGCTTCTAACCAATCCTAACCTAAGTTGTAGATGTCTTTTCTTTTTATTTTATGCATTTTACTTTGACCAACATTTAGCGTTTTTGCTTTATTTATATTGTTTTGCTTTAGCAATCTCTAATCAAGCTTTTCTGCTCATAGTTCCCAGAGATATGAAGACTTTTTCTACATACAGTATCACAGTATTGCCATGGTTTTGTGCAGAGACCTTAGTTATTGACAAACACATCAGTTTGCTACACTTACACTACTCATTAGCTTACACTAAAAGCCATTTACCAAATAAACCCTGTATGATTGTCAAACCAGGGACTTGTTTTCGTTTCTAATTCAGTTTCATGTCTTTTTATGGCTGGCTGTTGTTTGCTTTGTGGTTTTAATGCTGAAGATTTGATTCACCCTGATGGAACTAACACCAGAAGTTTCTCTCTGTTTCACTCATTAGAGCTCAACAGGACCTGGGAGTTGATCAGCAATAACATTAAAACCACTTACCTGTGCTAATGCTGCGACTGATTGTCTGCTGAGTTTTTGTCTTTGCGTCTCCTCGGATGAGATTAATTGGGAAATCAAACTGCCTACGTCGCAGTCTCTCTCTGATAGCTGCAGTTTTTGGCTCATGTCTGTACTGTTTTACTGCAGCCAGTGATAATTTAAGTTGAAATTCATTAGACGATGGCGGCCGTTTTTGTGTTCAGTGATATATATTTCCTGTTGTGGAAAGTGGCGTTGGACGACGTCTGTTCTTATTCTCATATCGTACCGACTTCACTCATCAATCAGACATCACCAACATTAAAGCGCCTCCACTGGCACGTGTCGTGTCAGGAGGCGTATTTCTGTTCAGCTCATTATGGTACAGTATGGTCAAGATGAAAACCCATCAGTCTTTATGGAGAGGACGATGATTCTGGGCCTCGTTAGACACGACGGCAGCCACGATCACGCTGGACTCTGAGGTTGGAAATAAGTTGGAAAAATACGCTGCTGCTAACGATCAAAGAGCTACGTATTTAGAGATCAGTGGGACAACGGTCCAGTCAGTGATTCAAATCTTATCTCTGTCCAGTACACATTGCCTGAATATGATGCCATTTTAGATACTAAATTAGAGATTGTGTTATTATTTTATCTTTATATAAAAATAAATAATTTAGTAGCTGATAAATCAGTGATTAGGAGATCAGCTGCATCTAAGAGCATTTTTGTTTGTTTTGAACTGAGCGGCGTTGCTTCTTTAATGATAATTTCAAAATCACAGGAAAAACGACCATTTCCATCCACAAAATCATTATGTTGTTGAATCTGTTTATTTTTTATTTCATGTAATATTTTCTTGAAACCTTTTGAAAGGTGATTTTTGCAAAATGAATGAACATATAATAATAAAAAAACTCTTAGTTACTTACAGTAAGTGTTAGCTTCTACTTTTAGCTGTTACAGTTAGAGTGCTAACTACAGCAGCCTGAAATGGAAATCTATTCAGCTCTGTGTTTCCTCTGATCATAAATACTGACGTCATCTCCAAATGCTGAGACAAAGCCACGACAAATCCTCAGTTTATTAAAACATTTTCATCATAACGAGCACATTTACCGATATCTGTGACAACAAAGTTGTAACCACGTGTAGAGCGGGGCAGTTTACTCCTCCACTAGCCTTTAGTGTATCTTAATTCTTGTGCAGAGACTGTGATTTAGTCTTTTTCTGGGTGTAGCGAGACATGTTTATGGGCTAATAGGCCTTTGTAAGTAGTACTCTATTTATTTAATACAATTGTAGTGTGAACAGAAGGAATAATAAACAGGCTGACTAAACATACGATTCTTCTTTTGGGCTGAGAAAACCCTGTGTAAGGACACAAAAGGGGGACGTTTCCACCGCGGAAAGTAAATTCTTTTGAAGTGGAACTAATCATCTGAGGGATGGTTCTCGTTGTCCTAACAACGCAGCTGAATTGGAATGAGCCTCCCTTTCTGTGGAAGATATGTTTTCTTTTTTTCATTCAGAACTGATGATGATAGTAGTTTCATGCCCTGTCCACCCACATTGTCTGTCCAAACTTCTCCGCAGATAAGTCTTTACTTGGAGACGCCGAACACACGGCGGGTGACTCCTGGACCGTGACGTCAGCCTCCCTCCTCTGTCCCCACGTCTTTACGCTTTTTAATGCCGTTACAATCAAAAGGGAATCTCACCGCAAATCCTCCCAGAGATCAGGCCTTTCTTCGAGTGTGAAAAGATCAAGGCTTCACCTATGTCATAATGTACTGGTCTCCCTGTAAAACAACAACAGAGCAGTGTTTCCACAGCTGCTTCGTTCAAACACAAACAAACACAAGAGTGTACATTTTCAGACTGATAAGAAGAAAAGTGTAACATTAGGCCTCGTTTAAACACCTTGACATGAAAGGCCTACAGTTTAAACTAATAGTGTTTTTTTTTTCATTTTTATTAAAATTTGAATATTTTAATATGATGATTAAAGTTAATAAACAAGGTTATTTATTTCATGTATATTAATAAGTATTTTTTAACAGTTTTGAGCTTTTAATTTTAATTAAAAATTATAAAATAATATTTAAAAAATGTTTTCTCAAACTTGTGGGTTTCCTATGGAATCGAATAGAAAATACATAATTTAAGATTTAATGGCAGTGTTAGTCCAACATAGATATACGACAACAAGATGAGTCATAACAATATGATACAGCAGTAGGTAGATAGATAGATAATAGACTGATAGATAGATAGATAGATAGATAGATAGATAGATAGATAATAGACTGATAGATAGATAGATAGACTGATAGATAGATAGATAGATAGATAGA